CATAGAAGGAAATATAGGTGAAACACTACATGATAGGCACCTCAAAGACATCTTTACAGACACATCACCCAAAGCAGTGATAGTGAAGGCAAAGATAAACAGCTGGGACTACATCAAATTAAAGAGCTTCTGCACAGCAAAAGAGACAATAACCAAAACAAAGAGAAATCCCACCGACTGGGAGAACATTTTTGCACACAACACTAATGATAAAGAACTGATCACAAAAATCTACAAAGAGCTGATGAGACTCAACACAAACAAAGAAAATAATCCCATCAAAAAATGGGCAGAAGAGCTAAAAAGAAACTTCTCTGAAGAGGAAATGCAAATGGCCAATAGGCATATGAAAAAATGTTTAACATCACTTGTCATCAGGGAAATGCAAATCAAAACTACCATGAGATACCATCTTACACCAGTGAGAATGGCACATATTAAAAAAACTAGCAACAACAAATGTTGGCGAGGGTGTGGAGAAAAAGGAACTCTCCCACACTGTTGGTGGGAGTGCAAACGGGTCCAACCACTATGGAGAGCTGTGTGGAGATTTCTTGACCTACTAAACATAGAGCTTCCATATGATCCAGCAATTCCACTCCTAGGTATTTACCCAAATGACACAGAAACATCAATTCCAAAGAGCACCTGCACCCCTATGTTTATAGCAGCACTGTTTACAATAGCTAAGCTTTGGAAACAACCCAAATGCCCAAAAATAGATGACTGGATCAAGAAGATGTGGTACATATACACCATGGAATATTACTCAGCATTCAAAAAAGATAAACACATGCAATATGCAGCAACATGGATGGCGCTGGAAGGGATCATGCTCAGCGAAATAAGCCAGAAAGAAAAAGAAAAATACCGGATGGTCTCACTCATAGCAGGAATCTAGAAAACTTAAATAAGGGACCAGGAAAATGAATAACTATAAGAAAGTGAAAATCAAAATCAACAAAAATCTATGAACCAGAGACACTCTATGAGGGTTGGGGGGTGGGGAAAGGAGGGATTAGGGTCAAAATAAGGGGGTTGTAATTGTAAGGGGAATATAAAAATAAAATTTAAATAATAAAAAAGTAAAAATAAATATAAAATTGGAAAAAAAATAGTGACATTCTCCCACAAAACAACACACTCAAGGAGAAAAATTCCCTCATAATAGCTAATATCCAGTTTTTATTCAAATTTCCTCAACTGTTTTCCAAATATCAGTTATACCCATGCTTTTAATGAAAGATCATATTTTAGTGACTGTGACTTTAGAGTCTCCTTGAATATAGAAAACTGACTTCCTGTCAGTCATCTGCACCTCTTTTCCCCTGACATTGACATTTTGAAGAGTACCAGTTACCTTATAGAATACCTCAAATTCTGGATTAGTCTTTTTCCTTGTGGTGTCAATTACATTGTTCTTCTATCTCCTGTATTTTATCTGGCTGAAAACTGTAACTTTTTGATTACATTCAGGTTAAGTATTTGGGTTATTCGGGTTAAATACACTTCACAGATGATGTGTATTGATTTTTTTTTTTAAAGAGGCATGTATTTGTTTGTTTGTTTGTTTATACATGCACTGGGTACAGTCAGAAGCGCGGGAGGGTGAGAGAATTCACCAGAGCCAGAGCGGGGAGCAGAGCAGGCGGAAGGACCGAAGTACACTGCTGAGGGGAGCAGCAGGCGGCAGGAGAGGTCTGCGTGCCATGTGGGACCCTCCTCCAGTGGCCGGGGAGCAGCAGGGGATTGAACCAGCATCATAGAGGCCGCGGGCAGCTTCACAACCCAGCACTCAACCGCTGCGCCACTGGGGAGGCGCATGTGTATTGATTTATTATGTACTCTTGATATCTGCAGTCAACCTGATTCTTTCTTCTATCTGCTCAGTTCCACTTTAGAATACATCTCAGCAGGTGACTCATTTCGTGGCACTTTTTGACTCCAGATTTCTAGTACATAATAAATAAACTCTTGATATCAAGAGTTACATAATAAATAAACTCTTGATATCAAGAGTTACATAATAAATAAACTCTTGATATCAAGAGTTACATAATAAATTCTCCTAACCTCAGTGATGCAAGTTTGGTCAGGTTGAAATGATGATTTGTAGAACTCACCATTGGAAAAATGTGTCATTAATATATAATCTATTGACTACTTTGTAATTTAGTGATAGGTTTTCTATTGATAATCTTAAATTTCTTCCTCAATTTAATAGCTGTTGTTCTTCTGAAATCAAAAGCTTTTACCTACTAATTGAAGATGAAAGCAACAGATCTTTTTAAGATGGTAGAAACATAGGATGTAGGATAAATGCTTAATTACCTTTTAATTGCATTTTATCAGAAAAGGTCTGTTCTAATAGTCATTTCTAATACTAGCAAAGCCTTTTTTTTTTTTAAAGTGTCTTGATGGACTCACGTTTCACTTACTCAGTGTTTGTAATCAACTCTAGTTATTATTCTTTTTTATCCTCAGCTTGTCACAAATTTGGTCAGTGGAATTCCTTTCTACTTGTATCTGTGTAATTTTGACAATTCCTGCTTCCTCATTAGTCTTTGATTATTTCATTACTTTCCAACAAAACATCTCTGACTTTTGTACATTTCCTGTCCCTTATCTGGAAGGAGTTTTTTCTCTTTCTGTGGTACCCTGCTTCTTCTTGGAACTGGATTGTCTTTTTGTTGTTGAGTTGTAGAAGTTCTTATGTATTTTGGGTATTAAACTCTTAGCAGATAGGAATTGAAAATATTTTCTCCCATTGTGTAGATTGCCCCTTCACATTCTTAAAATGTATTCTGTTGTATACAAGTTCTTAATTTTGATAAAGTCCACTGCATCTGTTACTTTCTCTTAATTTTTGATGGTTAGCTTTTCCAGATTAAAAAAAATTTATTGATAGTCTTTTTTTCTGTCAGCACACTGAATAGTCCATTCAGCTGCCTTCTTGCCTCATGGTTTCTGATGAGAAATTAGCTGTTAATCTGTTGAGGATATCTTGTATGGGAGGAGTTGTATATCTCTCATCTTCAAGAGCCTCTCTTTGTCTTTTTTTGGTTCTTCAGTTTGATTATGATGTATCTAGGTATGAATCTCTGTGATTCTATCCTTCAAATGCTCATTGGGCTTCTTAAGTGTGAGATTAATGGTTTTCATCAAATTTGAGTTGTTTCGAAACTTATTTCTTCAAATACTCTTTCTGCTCAATTTTCTTCCTCCTTTTCTTCTGTGTCCCACAAGCCTTTGAAACTCTGTTCATTTTTCTACATTCTGTGTTCCCTCTATTCCTCAGACTTGATAATTCCAACCAACCTATCTGCAGTCAACCTGATTCTTTCTTCTATCTGCTCAATTCCACTTTAGAATACATCTCAGCAGGTGACTTTTTCATTTCGTGGCACTTTTTGACTCCAGGTTTCTATATTTATATGTTCTATCTCTTTATTGATATTCTTTGTTTGGTGAGATATCATTCTCATATTTTTTTTTTATTCCTTTAGGCACGGTTTCCTTTATCTCTTGGAATAGATTTAAAATAGTTGATTTAAAATTTTTATCTAAGTAATTCCATGGTCTGAGCTTTTCAGGGACAGTGCTTATTGATTGCTTTTTCCTGATGTATGGACTGTATTTTCCTGTTTCTTTGCATATCCCATAGTTTATTGTTGAAAACGAATATAGTGTTATGTAATGTTATTACACATTTATATTAAGTAATATGGTGTGACAACTCTGGGAATCATATTCACCCAGCTTCCCACAGTTTGCATTTGTTGCTGCTTGTTATTATGGTTGGTTGTTAGGTGACTTTTCTGAACTCTCTCTATAAAGGCTATATCTTTCTTGTTTTGGCCACTGAAGTCACTACTTCATTAGCTAAATGATCAGTTAATGGCTGAACAGAAATTTCCTTACACACCTGGAAACTAAATTTCCCAGTGTTTTGTTCCCTCCAATCCTGGGAATGTATTACTTTTCAAGGTTGTGCAGAGGTGGGAAGTGGAAAATGGGAGTGGGTAAGTTAAGGTGTCAGAAAATTTATTGTACTTACTGAGAGCCTGCTATTTTTCACTCCTAAAAGCTACCCAGCTCACTACCCCACCCCCATTGTTGCAAGCCTTTGATTATTATTTGGATTCTGAAAAAGTTGATTTTTACATTATTTCCAAGTGTTTTTTGTTTTATGGAGGAATGAACCCTTGCAGGTTTTCCTTCTGTGATTTCGCTCTGTTAATGTTTAAATTTATGAGTATTGGTGATATTGGACAGTGTTACACAAGTTGGTTTTAAAATTTACATGAACAAATGAAAAATGAAGAATAACCTGAAAATCCTCTAAAGGTATATAATGAGACAAGAATAGCTCCAACCAGTATTGAGACATCTTTATTTTATTTATATATTTTATATCATTGTTCATTTTTGTATACTGTTTGATTTCTCCCCTCAGGTGTATTCCCCATAAAATTCCCATCCCCAAATCACCTGTAAGCTGTCACCATAGTTTCTTGTGCTGTCCCCTCCACTTTCTAGTGAATGCTGTGATACTAGTAATTAAATTATATTAGAGATACATATGGAAAGATGTGTGATTGAGTGGCTATCAAAAGGCCATTCCACTGCTGTGTGGGGTAAGCCAGGCTTTACCTTTCTTTTCGTATAATCAGGATTTCACTTCTAGATTTACATAAGGCTAATCTTCAATCCTGGGCTTGTAAGACTGAATTTATTAAGTTCTGGGAGTTGTGTTTACCTTTCAAGACTGGAGTGAGGATAAAATAAGATACTCAATGATGGTGCTTCGAATTTTATGGAACCAAGACAAATAGTAGCATAAATGAATCTGGAATGAGATAATATGTTCTTTCATTGCACAAATATAAGGAAAAATGGTTTTCAAAAGTTGGTTTCATGTGACTGACTGTTTGCAAACTTTCTTTTTCCTTGTTTTTTAAACAATGGATCCTGACCTTTCTCCTTTTCATATATTCCAGGACATTTGTTTATTCACTGTTCACTAGAGGAAGGCCTTTTCCAATTCTGTTGCTTTTCAAGGGCATGACCTTCTGCATGGGAAATGGATTCCTCCAAGGCTACTCTCTGATTTACTGTTCTGAATACCCAGATGAGTGGTACACTGACATACGGTTTATCCTGGGTAAGTAAACCTTGTCCCCCTCATCGACTCCCGAGGCAACATTCCTTCCCACAGTCAAAATTATCATCACCTCTCCACACCCAAATGCAGGAACGTCCCAAAGATTCTAGTTTCTCCTTTCACCCCTCCCCTAATCTTTCCTCTCTATAGTAGACCTGAAAAAACTTTGAAAAGCATGTCAGTCTCCTTAAAACTCAATGATTTCCACTACTCTCAGGATAAAATACAAATTCCTTACCAATACTTAGGAGACCCAGCTGTTCTTGGTTTTTCCCGTTTTCCCTATGTCTACCCGCTGGTTGTGTGCTGGCCAGCGTGTCCTGCCCTAGAGCTTTTGATCAGACTAGTGACTGCTGATAATGCTGTGTTCTATGTATTCATGGAGCCTGCTCCCTCACTTTATTTAGGTCTATATCAGTTTGCATTCCTCAAAGACACTTTTCCTGACCCTCTCTCTAAAATAGTTTTAGAAAATACTGTCTGTTAAATTTTTCCATTATAGAGAGAGATAGAAAAATCCAGGAAGTTCTATTGTTTGTCATGTATTTTTCTCACACCAAAAATCTGGGTATTATCCTTAGTTCCTCCCTTTGCATTGTATATCATATTCTCTCCATCATTTAGTACTGTGGCTCTGAGCTCCTAAAGCTACACCAGCTGGGCTCTCCTCTCCCTGCACTGCTCCCACTCTAGCCTGAGCCATGGCAACATCTTGTCCCCACAGCAGCCGTAGTGACCTGCAAACAAACTTCCTCCCTCTGGCCCTGGCCTCCTGCAGACCCTTCTTCCCACAGCAGTCACAGGGCATATTTGAAAACGCGAAAGACCTGAGGATTAGTGGTACAAATGCTGATGCATGTACACAATAGAGCGGTCTGGAGCCGCAAAAACAAGCCAAATAGAATCAAACAACAAGAAACAAGATCATTGTGAGCTCATATAGAGACTCTCCAGAACATGTGGGCAATAAAAATAATCATTGTGAACAGCAGTGTACATAGTGCACTACTTTATGTAAAAGTGAATAGAAGGAAAATGTGTGTTGTATAAAATTGGAAAAGGAAATATTGTAATGATGAAAAAGAAATGAATAAAAGGTTACTTGTAGGCCTGGTGGTAAAAAGAATGGGATGGTGGCAGAGCTTTTCTTTCAATACTGTTTTGTCTTTTGAATTGTGAAACTTCATTTCACTTAGCTAAAAAAATCTAAATGGAAGTAGTCCCTGAGTTGAGAGCAAACAAATAAATGTACTTAATTGTATATTAAATTGTATATTAAATTGATAGGATAACCACACTGGAAAATTGATAGGAAATACAGAGAATAGATGGAAAAATTCAATGCCACTATAAGGAAGTCCTCAGTCTTACCTAGAAAGAGGTGCATTTTGAAGGATGACTGTTTGGCCATTTCAAGAAGTCAGTGTTCTGGAAAAAAAAAAAAAGAAGCTAGGGACCTAGGATGAATTAAAATGGCCTTAAAGGATATAATGACCAGATGTCAGATGTAATCCTATATTGCACCTTGGTTTGCACAAACCAGTTATGAGAGGCATTTGGCGACTTCTGAGGAAATGGAGATACGGCCTAGTTCTTTTAATTCAGATTTACTTTCCTCCACTGAAATATAAGTTCCTTGAGAATAAGACATCTTATTATGACTATTGTTTTTGCTGAAGTATTCCTGGTGTTAGGACAGTGCTTTGTTCAAAGGAACCCTCGATAAATATTAGTTGAATGAATAAATACATGAATGAACCTCATACTGTCATTGTGAGATATAGGTATTGTTTGAATCTACATTTTGCAGAAAATGGAGACTGGGAGAGGTTGAGAGGTTGCCCAAGGACTCACTGACATCCAGTCCAAAGTGACTGTCTTTTCTAGTGCTCTGCATGCTGTCTCCCCTCCCCTGCTGCCACTGGTGTCCCTCCCCAGACTCCCTCATCCAGGTTATAGAATATTGAAAGTCAGTTTTACAGCAAATGAGGTGAGAGTAGACCTGATTTTCTAATTCAACTGGTCTTGCTTTTTTGCTTCATGTATTTTGATCAGTACAGGTACACTTTGTTGAGAGGTGAGGTTGGGCACCCAGGGGAACACTGAGTATTTCTGGGTTGTAATAATGATCCTGGCTCCCCTCACCTCAGAACAGTGAGTGGCGAGAAGAGAGTATATGTGAACTGGCAGTGATGGAAGTCAATTTGCTAGGGGCCAGACCCTCTACAACCTAGCTCATATTAATTTTGTGAGAGTGAACGTATCAGTCAGAAATGCTCTCAGCACTGACTCACAGAACGCTAACTTATAGTGATTTAAATAATTATGGATTATATTTCTTAAATAACAAGAACATACAAAAGGTATGTGGCTTCAGCATTCCTTGAGTTGTGTGCAAATGCCATTAAGATCCCAGGTACTTTCTATATTTCTGCTCCACTTTTTTTTTTTTTTGAGTCATATTTATTTTGTATTCTTTGTTCTATTTTCTTTTTTTTTTTTACATTTTAAAATTTTATTTATTTCTTACATCATTTTTCATTCTTGTACAATGTATGTATTTTCATCTTGGTTATCGTCCCCATACAATTCCCACACCCTTGTTTTGATCCTACTCCCTTCACTCCCCGCCCTGTAGTGTGTCCCTGGTTTATAGTTGCTTGTTGATTTTGATTTTTACTTTATTATAATTAGTCTTTTTCCTGGTCCCTTATTTAGGTTTTCTAAATTCCTGCTATGAGTGAGACCATCCGGTATTTTTCTTTTTCTTTCTGGCTTATTTCACTGAGCATGATCCCTTCCAGCGCCATCCATGTTGCTGCAACTTGCATGAGTTTATCTTTTTTGATTGCTGAGTAACATTCCATTGTTTATGTGCACCACATCTTCTTGATCCAGTCATCTATTTTTGGACATTTGGGTTGTTTCCAAAGCTTAGCTATTGTAAATAGTGCTGCTATAAACATAGGGGTGCAGGTGCCCTTTTGAATTAATGTTTCTGTGTCCTTTGGGTAAATACCTGGGAGTGGAATTGCTGGATCATATGGAAGCTCCATCTTTTCTGCTCCCCTATTCTTAGCAGTTTTCCTGTGGTCCCCAGGAGATCCGCTTCATGCTTGCAAGACAGTTGCTGTAGCTCAAGGTATCACATCAGGCATTGAAGGAAGAGCAAGGAAGCGGAGGCACTTGTCCCATTTGCCCCTTTATCATAAAAGTAAAAGCTCTCCAAGGAAGTCCCCAGAAGAATTCTCTTTTCATTCTTTTGTTAGAACTATTCATTCACATATTTGTTTATTTACTTAATTATTGGACAAGGATGCTGCCTCCTTCTCTTTTGTCCCACCTGCCTTCATCACATGACTATACTTTCAGACTTTTGGTCTAAAACAGCACACCCCCACGGAAACAAGGGACCATGGCTATATAATTGCCCCATCTTCCTTCTGCCCTAGCTTAGTACTATTCTTGAAATTAAAATGTCTTTCCCTTTGGCTTTAGAAAAAAGGTAGCTTTTGCGTAAAATCAGGACACATTAATTTTTTTCCTTCTCTCTTCCTTGCCAAGGTGTCTTCTTATTTATTTTGGGAATGGGAATCAACATTCATAGTGATTACATACTGCACCAGCTCAGGAAGCCTGGAGAAATCATTTATAAGATTCCGCAAGGTAATGTTTCCCCTGCCTTATGGAGCCCACTCTTTCTTGGGACCCTGTCCAGAGACATTGAGGGCACAAAGGACACAATATATTCCAGTTTGCCTCTGACTTCTCTGTATTCTGTCCTTTCCACAAAATGTTTGTATTTCTGATCTGAACCTCTAAGTTTGAGAGGTATAAGAACCTGGAGGAAGACAGGATCACAAGATCCTAAAGGTGGGGTTAGTGTGAGTTTTGGATAGGGTGGAAATAGGCTGCCCTGTAATTGTCATCAGGGAGATTACTTTATGCTGTATCAGAATTCTCCAGAGGAACAGAACCATAGGATATAGAGATCTAAATATAGATATATAAAGAGATGTATCATAAGAAATTAGCTTACATGACTCTAGAATTTGAGAAGTCCTTTGATCTGCCATCTGCAAGCTAGGAATTCAAGGAGAGTAATTTCCAGTCTCAGTCAAAAGGTCTAAGAACTAAGAAGCCTGTGATGTAAGTTCTAATGTGAATGCAGGAGAAGATTGTGGTTTCAGCTCCAAGACAGAGAGTGAATTTTCCCTTTTATTCTATTCAGGCCTCCAGTGGAAAGATGATTTCTGGCCTTACTGGGGAGGGTAATCTGCTTTACTCTTTCTGCCAATTCAAATGTTAATCTCCTTGAGAAACACCATCTCAGAAATAATGATTAACTAGAGATCTGGCATACACACCCCAGCCAATCCTTTCTGGATTAAGCAAGAGAGCTGAATCATGTGTGACCAACAAATCCATCTTTTTCATTTGGTCTAGACTGATTTAGTGAGTAGACAGTGGTAGTGGTTATGCATTTCCTGCCACTTTTGTATTCTTAAAGGTGTAAAGAATCAGATTCACATAATTAAAAAGTAAGGGAGAATCTGGCAAGATGACACACCCAAGACATATTTTAACAAGAGTGCTAGAAACGAGTGGCAAGGAAAGATACCTAAAGCATCCAGAGAATGAGGAATTATAGGCCAGGAAACACCTCTTAACTATTTACAGATATCACAGTGGAAACCTTGTAGGCAAGAAGGGAATAGCAGGACATGTGTAAAGCCCTCAAAGAAAAATATTTCCAACTCTGAATATTTTATCTGGCCAGGCTGTCATTCAAGAAAGAGGGAAGATGGTTAAGGGGCTTTATAGAAGAACAAAAATTGAAAGACTACACCAACAGAAAACTGAAAACCAATAGTCTTTTTATAACTCTGGAAAGAAAAAAAACAAATTGTCCTGTGTGAAACTTTCAAATTTAGTGTGGGGCAGAAATTTTGAGTGTAGCAATATTTACTATTATTAGAAATATGTTGATTTCCTGATAAGTTTCTGATGTCAGAATTATGTTTGGATAGAGAGGTAAGCCTTGCACATCATCAGAAGCTGACCCCGCCAGCTTCCTACTTTAAACTGGACAGAATGTACCTCTGGGCAGACGTGGGAGGGCAAATGCCAGAGGAACATCTAATCGCTGCTGAGATCAGTTATGGTTTTATCATCTTCACGTGGTGTGTTCACTTTGCATGACTGTAGATGTGAAACACACTGAGCAGCATGGGGTATCCAGAGAAGAGTGGAAGGTGAGAGGTGACGTAGAAACGTTACTTAATAGAGTGAGGCATAGTTCTATCTCCTGCCTTCATCCTTGTCCTGTCCAAAGCTAGTGGTCCAGCAGTGGTTAGAGACTTGGGGGTTGGGGGGAGCTTTCTTCCCATTCCCCCCCAAGAAGGACCCACCAAATTGTCATGTTTGAGAAGTCTCCAGTCCCACATTCATTCTAGCTGCCCTTATGTATTTTGGAAGAAAGCAGAGGGGTTTTAATGTCCCAACAATCCAGTTCTGCTATTGATTTTTTGATTCTTCTACATTCAGGTGGCTTGTTTACCTACGTCTCTGGGGCCAATTTCCTTGGTGAGATCGTGGAATGGTTTGGCTTTGCCCTGGCCACCTGGTCCCTCCCAGCTCTCTCCTTTGCATTTTTCACACTTTGTTTCCTTGGACTGCGAGCTCTTTACCACCACAGGTAAACTTTTCCATAAAGGTGGTGCATCCACATAACTTTCTCCTCCAAATAGATTTTAGTCCCAAAGAGGCAGATTTAGACATTTATTTATTTTTTAAAAAGGACTTATTTATTTATGCATAGAAGAACTGGGGTGTAGGCCAGAGGTGCTGGGGGTAAGAGGATTCGCCAGAGACAGAGTGGGGAGCAGAACAGGTAGATCTACTGAAATGCACTGCTGAGGGCTGCAGCGAGCTAGACAGAGAGGTCTGTTACACCATGTGGGTCAGCTCCCTGGCTGGAGATTGAATTCAGGCTGCAGCGGTTATAGTGTGATAATGCTGACACTTAACCCTTATGCCACCAGGGAAGCCACCCAAAATATTTAATTTTATAAGGTAAGTTCACACGATCATCCAGGCTGGTGAGTTCTGAATCCTTGAGCTTGCACTGAAGTTGGAGTTCAGCTGGATGACAGGAGCAGTACCCATTGTTTTCTATGAGCAGAAGTCAATCCATGTACTCAGAGGTACCAAGGTGACTTGGGATCCCCCATGCCGTCTTGCTGAAGGAGGCTTCTCAGTCAGAAGCCCCTTATGAATGCTTAAGTATGGGTTCTGTACCCTCCTAGCAGGGTCCTTAGGATCAGCTTCTGGTTGGCAGTGAGTGTGGGTAAGAGTTAAGAGATGTGGGCCTCCCTGGTGGCGCAAGGGGTTAAGCACCACATTATGAAGCAATTTGCAGCCTCTGCAGCACCAGTTCGATCCCCAGCTGGCCAGGGAGCAACCCACATGGCGCAACAAACCGCTCCTGGCTCGCCTGCTGCTCCCTGCAGCAGTGGATTTCAGTAGATCCACCTGTTCTGTTCCCCACCCTGTCTCTGGTGAATTCTCTCACACCGCCCCCCGACATCTCTGGCCTGTACCCCAGCTCTTGTATGCATAAATAAATAAATCTTAAAAAAAAGTTAAGAGATGTAAAGAGTTTCATTGCTTCAATTTGATTTACTTCTGCCATGTTTGTTTAAGTGTGTTCCATAGGTGGGGGCATGCCAACACTTTCCAGAACTTCACGGGTCATCCTGAGGCACGGTCGGGAGAGACAGCCACCAGGGGAAAGTGCTTGTCTTGGGCGTAGTGTGGTGCTCCTCTGGCTTCATGTCTAGTTCTAGGTTTGGTGCTGACAGTTCAGGCAATCGCAGAGTCTTGGAAATGACAGGCTTATTTTCTTATAGTCTGTGTAATACAGGGGCTTAATCTGGCTCTCTGCCTTTTCCTACCATCAGCCTCCATACCCAGGTCATTGCTGATTTCCTGAGAAGATGGCTTAGCAGTGGCTGCAGGACTGCCCTGTGCTGGGTGCTGCCAGAAATTGCAGGAACCTTTGCTCTCCAGGGCTAGACTAAAGCCTCGCTAACCTTCACCTGCCTTCCAACGCCCCCATCTGACTCTTCTTTTTTAATTTTAATTTTATTTTTTTAAAAGATTTATTTATTTATGCATACAAGAACTGGGGTATAGGCCAGAGGTGTGGGGGCGGGGTGAGAGGATTCACCAGAGACAGAGTGGGGAGCAGAACAGGCAGACTGACTGACTCATAATACCTCCACCTGGCATGGGATGGAGACTAAAGAGTTAACTAAAAGTAGTATCACAAAAATGGAAAGAGTGACATGCTTAGTTGTATCAAGCTTTAAACAGGAATATCGCATCCTTTCTCTAAAATAGACTTTGAGAAAGTCTGTACATATCGGGGGGGAGGGGCAAGAGGGAGAACGCATCTCCTAGTGGGGAAGGGGTTCAGACCCATGGAGGCACCCTGAAGCTCCTGCAGAGGTGGTTTAGCCCAGTTAATGATTAATTTTGTAGTTTTGAAGGTTGCACTAAGAGTGGGTTCTTTTCCTTGGAGTGGAATTGACATGGAGACCTGTTAGACATGAATGAAGCCACAGCTCTCCTCTAACTTGTTCCTGTCTCCTCCTCGACTCAGTGGGGAGGGGCAGCAGAGGGACCCCAGCCTGTCAGAGCTAGCAGGACTGTTCTCCCCACTTCAGAGGCAGAGGGTGGTTGTGGGGGGAGGAGAGGGTGTCAGCCAGCAATTGGAGGGTTCCTAACAAGGACGGGACAGTACTTCCACCATCGGTTTTCAGCTTGGGCAACAAGAGCATCCAAACTGAGGTCCTCTCCTGGCAGAGCAGGCTGCTCCAGGGAGGGGCCGGGGCAGCTGTCCTAGCACTGAAACCCAGACAGCTCCAGAGAGATGCAGTTACTCTTTGTTCCCCAGTTCAAACTAAGGTCCCTTGACAGAGTGTATCATCTTGATTATAACTCGGGAGCTGCCAGCTTCAACTAGCTAAAAGGACAGTCTGGTAACTTAGGGAGAAAAACTTCTGACATCATGTAGCCGTCTCCCAGGGCTGCCGAAACAGATGTCCACAAATAGAGTGGCTTCAAAGGTATTTTCTCACAGTTCTGGAGGCAGAAGCCTGAAGTCAAGGTGTGGACAGGGCCATGCTCTCCCTACTGTTCCCAGGATCCCTCCCTGCCTGTTCCTGCTTCCACTGGTCTAAAACCTGCCTCTGTCTTCACCTGACCTTCCCATGAGCCTCTCTCTCTATGTCTCTTTACTCGCTCATATTGCATTAAGGTCTTGCCCTGTTCCAATAGGACCTTATCTTAATAAATTACATCTGCAATGACTCCATTTCCAAATAGTGTCACATTCTCAGGTGGTGGAGGTTAGGACTTTGGCATACATTTTTTTTTGGGGGGGGGGTATAACTTAACCTATAGTACAAGTAACATTTTCTGGGATCCCCAGACCTCATGAAGGGATATTGTCTTGGGAAAAATGCCAGTTCTCTAGGGTGAACCTTTGCCCATGGTCTTTGGGGTCTCTGGCTTCCTGTATTCTCACCTGAATCTATCCAGTACTTCTTTTTCCTGTCACAGTTTTGTAATTTTATCATGGTAGACTGGATACAACATTAACTATTTTAAGTGTTCAATTCATTGCTCTTGGACATATGCATAGTAGCAGGCAACCATCACCACTGTGCTCTGATTATTACTCTTTATTTTTCAACACATGATGCTTCAACATTTACAGGAGATAGGGATGGGATGGGGACTAAAGAGTTAACTAAAAGTATCACAAGAAAGGAAAGAGTGACGTACTTAGTTGTATCAAGCAACTGTATTAAACAGGAATATAGCATCCTTTTTCTAAAATAGATTTTTGAGAAAGTCTGTACATATCAGAGAGGGGGAAGGGGGGAAGAGTCAGTCTCCGAAGAACTGTTGGTTGATTTGTAACAAAGCTTTCAACACCACAACCTCAACCATTGACCACTGCTTGATTCGATTTATAATTATTCCTTTTTTTTGTCTCTTAGGTTCTACCTCAAGAGGTTTGAGAACTACCCCAAATCTCGAAAAGCTCTCATTCCATTCATCTTTTAAAAGAAACCAAATCAGGGCCTCCCCAGTGGTGCAGCGGGTTGAGCACAGCACTGTGAAGCTGTCCGCAGCCTCTCCCTGCCCGCCAGGGAGATTCTCACATGGCGCAGTAGACCTCTCCTGTCTTGCCCTCTGCTCCCCTCAGCAGTGCTTTAGGTGTGTCTGCCTGTTCTGCTCCCCACTCTGTCTCTGGTGAATCCTCTCACCCTCCTGCGCCTCTGGCCTGTACCCCAGTTCTTGTATAAAAATAAATAAATCTTTAAAAAAAATGAAAAGAAACCAAATCAAAAAGGAATAGCTCCCACAATCCTGTTGAAAATCATTAAGCTGCTGAACCATAACTTCTAATGCTCTGCTCTGTGAGTGCCCGTATGTAACTATAGGTTTCCTGGTGTTTTGACAGCTGGCTTCAGGATTCTGGGTGCTGCCCTCTCCGTGTTCCCTCCTATCCTTCCCTGAAGTCTCTATCTTTTTTTTTTTAAGATTCATTTATACAAGAATCGGGGTACAGGCCAGATGCGTGGGAGGGTGAGAGGATTCGCCAGAGACAGAGTGGGGAACAGAACAGGCAGACTGACGAAATACACTGCTGAGGGGAGCAGCGGGAGAGACAGGAGAGGTCTGCCCTGCCATGTGGTTTGTTTCACAGCTGGCGGGGATCTAACCGGCACTGCAGAGGCTGTGGACAGCTTCAAAGCGCTGCATTCACCTGCCTGTGCCATCAGGAGGCCCCTGAAGTCTCTATCTTGATCTCCTGTTGAAGCTGACCAAACCCTGTACCATACAGAGACATTGGTTTCTTAGCTATTCTTCCTAGAAAGTGCAAAAATTCTTTATGTAATTTATCTTTGGCTGATCCAAGTACATATGGCTTAATACCTCCTCTGCAGCAATGTAAGATAGTTCTGTAGTTGAGACAGTTCTGGGTTCAGAGCCATGCTCTTAGGATGTATAAAGGTATACATTTTACAGCTATGCAAATGAGCTGAGATTTGAATCCTGAAACTACACAGCTCCAGAGAAAATCTACTTCCAAAGGAATGCCCAGGCCTGTCATTTCCCCCTCTTCGTTAGTTGTGAAAGATGTGGAAAGATTGGTGGACTTTTAATAGAGGAGCCCTCTCTTCGTATTGCTGAACATGCTCCAATGCATTGACAGCATTTCAAATCTTAGTGCATTTTCTTAGTGACTCTGTTTTCTTGGAGTTTCATAGCCCTTGTTGGAAAGAACATAACTTAACCCTGAAAGCTTGGTGTGCATTTCATTGAAAGTCAGGTTTTAGTGGCCACAAAGAAACAAAAACATGATGCTGGATGACTACTGAAAGAATGTTTTGCAATAGACACTGCAAACTCGCATGTTCTCAGTAACTTCTGGAAATACCCAAATAATGAAAAGTATCAAATAAGGGAAACGAATGACTGAGACGACACGCTGTTGGTCTTGATGACTTACCCACAATGACTGTGCACCCAGCGACGCCTCTCTTTGGAAGTTCTTCATTGTGCACCTCAGGATGAGATCAAGGAAGTGTCTCATTTACCCTTGAAAGATCTGAGGATGATGCAAATTACTGGAAAACACAACTTGTAATCATATAAATAACTGCTTTGGCTGCTCATTAAATGCCTCTTGAGACACGGAATGTTAAGTAATTTTGCTGGAATTGAAAGATCTCTGAACTCATGCAGCTGTTTACAAGGTGTTAAGGTGTGTTTCCTTCCTAGCCCCTCCTTTAAGAGTTGTTTCCTTTCTTCTCTCTTTGCCAGCATGAAATTAAGGGCTCTGAGCCGAAAATAAAAAAAGCATGCCTATAGAGCTTTGCCGTAGCTCAGAACTTCAAGCAGGTGCAATAAAGGTGCAGCGAAATATGGAAAGGTTTGATTTCACACCTAGCGTTCAGAAATGCCAGTGGGGTATGGGGTGTTCAGGGCGGGGTGGAGGGGAACACATACTGTGAAATAAATCTTGAGGTGTAGCTGGGGTTCTGAAGTAAGACTTCTAGTTCTCTCCATGACACTGGAAACTGCTTTTCTTAAATCATTTATCTTATTACCTTATAAACTGTTTGGACTAGTTTTTGAGATGTAATAAATGGCAGATACTATTTGCCCAGTACTCACAATCTCAGGACAAAAGTGATATTCAGCAGTTGCATTTTTTGCCAGTAGAGGGTGCTCTCTAGAATTTACTTGCGCCAATCCAGATTTAGTAAAGTAACTCACGTATTTGGAAATTAAGAAAAAATACTATTGTCCTTTTAAGGAAACACGATCATGAACCTTCTTGGTTTAAGTAGAGCATAGAGTAAACTTCCTGTAATCTTCAGTCTTTCCTTTGTAACCAAAGTAATCCCAGTGCCCCCATTTTCTCTTTTAGAGCTAGAATGTGTACGGAGATGTACAATCATGGCCTGACTGTGTGCTCACCCCTAAATATATTTCCCATTTCTCAAAAATAGAATGTAACAAAAATATGGTTTATTTAGGTTTCCATAGAGTAGTTTTGTTTAAAATAATAAAGTAGTGTCTTATGTCAAAAGATGCCCTGTGATTGCTCCTGTTGAAACTCTCATGGAGGGAATATTTTTGCTGATCTTGTAGAAGATGTCAGAGCAAACATAAGACATGGCTAATCCTGTCCTTCATGCTATTGAAGGAGACACTGAGACTAAGATGCCCCCCAGGGTCACACAGCTGGTCAGAGTAGCAGCCTTCTCTTGTCTCTTTAAGGAACACAGTCCTTTTTTCCCTGACGGCATAGTAGATTTTGTAAGAGAGACCCAGCAGAGCCTACAAATGAGTATGACTTTAATCTGAGAATGTTCAGCCAACAATCATTTACTATTTACAATCTGATAAACGTTCAGGGGTGGGAGGATACTATTGATTGAGACACAATTATTGTCCCGTAGGAAGTGCCAGCTAGAGAAAAATAACCTGAGCTGCAGCGCTACCATCCAGATACCTGCTTAATGTCATGAGCACACGTTTCCTTCACTCTGGGGATGACGGCTGATGCCCACACTGTGAATCTGTTTGATAAAATGAAGAGTTTCTCCCCCCTACTCCCCCCACCCCCGTGTAGAAGCGATGACATTTGTGTTTAATATGGAAAAAGCTTCAAATCACAAATCCCCCTTCTCCCCAGCACTTACCTACATAAGGAGCAGATTGACTCCACTAAAAGGAAAATAGACCTCTAAAGGGAAATGTGTTATTAAATTGTAGTTTAGTTGCTTAAACCCTTTCAGGAACAGATAAATAAACCTATGCTTTTACTGCACTGTAGCTTGACAACAGCTGTCTTGACTTTTCGTGGTAACCTCATGGCCATCTCTCTGAGGAGCTGGGAGAAAGCTCTTGGCACGGGGAGGGATGGCCTCATGAAGAGTTTTTTCCTTTCCTGCAGCCTTTTAATTCTCAATCAGTGTGGGCTGAGGTCCAGGCATGGCAAAAAAAGAAGTGTAACAATAAATGTAAAGCAAAACTGCCTAGAGAAGGCTGATGATGGTTTTACGGCATCTGTACTATCTCATGATAAAAGAAAGAGGTTTGAGGCCAAATGGTCATATGGGCGCTTAGATGATTTAATAGTCATCGAGTGGATTTAATATCCAAGTAAGAGATTTGCTCTTTCTCTCCCTTCACCCACTGAAGTGTGTTCCTAAAAGGTTCTTTGTGACTTGTGTTTTATCTCATTTCTTCTCGTGCACTGTAGCTTGGGATTCGGATGAAGAAATAGACCTGGGGAAGGTTAAATTATGTACTAAGCTGAATTAGTTTATTTTTTCTCAACCTTTTTTGCATCCAGAGTTTGGCTTTGCTCCACGTAGTCAGAGTCTAGGTGTGGCATACTCAGCACCTCTCCTAGGAGGCAGCCATGGGGCTGGGATGAGGAGGGGAGCAGGGAAAGTGGAGGAAGGTAGGGAGTTATGTGGGGTTGGGGGTGGCTGGGTTAGGGAATCCTTGGGGAAGGGGGCATCTCCCTGACTGACTGGGCTCCATCCCTTCTCCTTGTGTCCAGGCTGCTTTAGCCCAGTTCCTTCCTTTGCTCCCAGGGAAAGCAGTCCCTCTGTGAGAGAGTGAACTCTTCCTAACACTCCTTTTTCATAAGGGAAAGAGGCTTTATTTCTTTAAACCAAGCCATATGGCTGTCCCTCACAATAAATAATTGTATTTCTGTGCGTTCACCTCATAAAGATGGACTTAAGTCTGTACAAGAGTGAAGCTTGTGAGAACGGGGTGAGGGAATTGTTTTGAGAGGTGTGTGGTAGTATCCAAGTTCTGTGAGGCCCCGGGGGAGAGCAGCCACCAGGGTCAGGGTTTTCTCTTTCCAGGTTCTTTGTTTCTCTTTTCTACAGTGCCCCCAAACGCAAAACCCTTTGTTACCAGCATTGACAAGAAAGTGAATGCCAAAAGGTCAATTAAATTTCATTAAGGCATTCTTTGACACATGTTGCCTTTCAGATACTAATCCACTAAAACAGATTCTTTGTCATGGTTTATATAACTGGATAAAATGTAAACAGATAAGTAAGTGGAGGTAAGAAAAAGTTGGGGTAAAAAAATAAAACCAAGGATAAAGTTAAAATGTAAAAAAAATGCATGGGCAGTGGCTAAGAACTCAGCCATAAACTGGGTGCTGAATCTTCAAGGAAAAGGAGGTAATTTATCATTTGCCTAATTCACTGCACCCACAAGATGAAAAAGAAAAAGGAACCAATTGATCAGTGATCGCTGGCACCAAGACTCGTGATAAGTTTCCTCAGTGTCTGACGCAGGGATCCACATTCATGAAAACATCTTCAGATAAACACAGTGGTAACTTTTGTGCAGCATCGTATAATGCCCAACCACAAAGACAGGAATCTATGCCACCAGAACTGCATTCTTTGAAAGCAAAGGGACTATTTTGCTTTCACTTAGGATGTGGCCCCACTCCTACCCTAACAACGGCATCTCCTAAGGGACAATAATTGTGTCTCAGTCAATAGTACCCTCCTACCTCTGAACGTTTATCAGATTGTAAATAAAATATGAGTGTTGCATGAATATGCTTAGGTTAAATTCATACGCATCTGTAGGCTCTGCTGGGTCTCTCTTATAAAAGTCTACATTTCATCTTCCTGCTGAAGAATTTCCTGCCA